AGTGGCAGAAGAGTGGCCGCAGCCGCGGGAGCCTTCATCCTCCTCTACACCGGTGCAGGCCGCAGCTCAGAAGAAGCGTAGGGTTACGATTGGATATGACATGGAGAAGGTACGGCAGTATGTGAGGGATGAGCACGCTCACGGTCTGGTGACAAGACACGACGAGGACTGCGACATGAAAGTAATTTATGAGGTGTTTGGACGGGCGTGATAGCCGTCTGATATCACCGCCGCCGCGCTATTCAGTCCCTAGAGCTCCGACTATGTGCCTGATCTATGCGGCCACATCGGCACGGCTACGCGATGGTTTCTTGAACAGGGAATCTCCGGTGCCGACGTGTATGAGCCGAGTGGCACTTATGACACTCTGCAGAAGAACCTGGGAAAGGCCCACAAGGCAACACCTCAAGGACCTGGGCCAGGCACGGTCTTGTCCTGTTGACCCGACAGAGCTTGGAGAAGGCATCTGCGCAGTGTGTATCAGAGGGCGAAGGTGCGGCACCAAGACGGTGACTACATCAGGATGTCGGAAAGACGCATCTTCATCGTCTTGCGCGCGGGTTCGGAGAAGGGAGGCAGTACCGGTTTTGTGGCTGCTTCAGCGCTTCTGCCCTTATTGCACCCCAAGGCCAGGGGCCTTAGCCTAAGCTGTTTCATGCCGGTGCGGAAACAGGCCGCGAGACTTCACCACGGAAGATGCGGAGACATATCCGGACCAGCATGCGCCCTTGCTCCACCGACACCCCTGACAGGTCAGAGAAGCTTCTGACGGGCTCGAAGTTGTCAGTCCTCGAGGATCAGTAGCGTCCGCTAGACGTGGAGACATTCCAGTCGCTGTTCAAAAAAGCCCTGTCTCACAGTGGACGTAATTTCATCACAGGCCGAGCGATGTGATCATGTGGGACAAGTTGCAAGCCCTTCCTGCAGCCCCTGTCGACAACGGATTGTTTCTTGCTGATAATGAAGATTCTTACTGAATAATACCAGATTGATAGTTTAGATTTGATCATTGATAACAATAAACTCCCCCTGTACTAGCAGGCGCTGGTCGAATCCGCTTCTTAGTTCTGGGGCAGGTCAATGCCGTCATTTTCTTCGGTCAGGACTCTGCACACAGCATGTGGAGTTTAGGCTTCCGGCTCGCGCTGCATGGTAACATCGGCAGCGGCATTGATGTGACTTGCCGGTGTTTTGGTTGTCTGTGCATGGATGCCCGTGCACAGTGTTCTGCGAAGTCCTGTGCTAGCAGGACATCTTGGACTTTGCTACCATAGATCGGGCACTGCATGCGCCAGCAACCCAGTGGCTTAGCCATAGTTCTGGGCGCGCAGACTTGCTTTCTCTGCGAATTTCCGGAACTTCGCGTTCGAAGGTGCTTTCGGGCCATGCTGGGTGACTGGGACTGGGACGAGCCTCGAGCCAAGAATGCCGAAGCCAGCGACCACGCATACGTCTAAAAGCTTTTAATCCGTGCCAGTTTCAGCTTAGCCTGGCTGAATAGGATTGCTTGCCTCAACTTGCTTTGGCACAACTGATGACAACTGTGTATGCGGCATCAGGATGGGAAAGATCGGAATTCACAGAGCCTTCGCATGGACCCTGCCTTAGCCGTACTTTGTAGGAAGCACGAGTCAGCATAGAAGTAAAGTTGGACAGAGCTGCGCTTTAGGTTCTTCTTCTTCATGGTGGTGATGGTCATGATTCTGTGCCCTGGCCTGTTTCCGAATCAGCAGAATCATCGAAGGTTCATCTTTGGAGCAGCATTTGTTCACAGCTCTTCGGACGGTGTGCCTGAGGATGAATATGCTGGTCGCAATTCTGATGGAGCGCTGGCCTTAGCTTCGAGCACGAGCTGTAAAATGTTTGCTGGTGATTGAACAAGCAGCGGATGTTGCAGTCGGGTGCTGTTCTGTCGCGCAACGCTCTCTTCGGCGCTCTACGCTTCTAAAGACGGTCCTAAGTGGACTATGCGCTTTGCAAGGGCATATGGTGTGGTCAAAGACGATGCCAAGCATGCGGACTCTCTGTTGGAGCAGGCCGTGACAAGTCCGAGGTATCGGCTACATGTAATGTCTAGCGTACATGCAGTCGCTGTTTGCATTTGCTTCCAATTTGCGCACAGAGGGTGAGTGAAGTTGACTGTGCTGGCAGACCAAGAATATCCTTCGGCGTGCACGTCAAAACAAGCGGAAAGAACGAGTGCCACATCCTCGGGTACAAGACGTTGCTAGCTTCGGCAGCATTTGCAGAAGTGGTGGTAGTGTTTGACCATCAGCGATCGATTGCTTGAATGACAGCCATCACGTGGTGACTCATTTGGCCAGGAACCTCAGTTCCATTTGGGATGCACTGCGCAAGGAGAATCCTACGGCCAGATGCTCCGATTTTGCAGGCAGGAGGCTGAGAGTTGTAACGAGAAGACCCGCAGGAGCACAACAACGACGAAGATGCCTTGCTAAGTGCTCAGCTCAGCTCGAAGCCGTCGACTTTTTCTGACCTGGGATTGTCGTCCAGCTTCATTGATTTTCAATTCTGCAAAGCTGAATGAGATCAGAGGCAGCGAGCGGAAGATTACTCCAAGGCAGGATACTTTAGTCGTTGAGTGAAATCTTTATGTTCTTCCGGCGCTTTCGGCCACAGGGCCTGTCCCCGCCACAGTCTGCCACTGCGACGGGAGAACTAGCAGAAAGTGCATTGCTCGCAGCCTTCTGCGGGACATCGTGGAGGGCATCCCTGCCTCGCAAGCGCTGCGCACTTTGAAGAACTCCCAAATCGACTACGACAAGACGGGCCCATGTTCTGAGTGCCGGGCAAGTGCAAAGAAGCAGCCCCGCCGTGCCTCGCAGGAAGGTGGATCCTGCCTTCGAGCTGCAGGACTTCAAGGCCATCGGCCATGGGCCTCTGAGAGAAGAGAGGAGAAAAAGGAGCCGAGGGATGAAGGAGCAGATGCAGCGGAAGATGTGTGAAGTGTCATCTGGGATGCCTCTTGCGACGGGCACTGCGTGTTGCTCTTACGTGCAGGTGGGCCTGACCAACATGGTGACTCGCCTCGATTACTCGGCAGGGCCCTCAGCCCAGCATGGTCGCGGCTTTTGGAACCTTCGCCGGAGTGTTGGAGCTTAGGCCCTGTGTGCCACCTACCTGAGCGAAAAGATTAGGCAATACCAGGACTGCTGACTCTTCCCGAAAAGACATCGGGGCGTCTCTGCATGAGAGGATCTTGCCAAAGCCGAGGGCCGCGACACGGGCGGATTTGACAAAGCACTAACAACTCTAAGTGTGAGCCCTAAGATTACGGTCATCGAACACCTCTCCAAATCACGCTCTGTATCCGGCCCCAGATGTCCAAGGCCTTCCTCTTGGCGAGCTGGAGGTTGACTTCTAGTGATCCTACTGATTCCAGAGTGCTCTGTGTCGTGAGTTTCTGTGTGCGAAGGGTGCCCAACCGACGGATGTCGAGACATATGAGAACAGCGCAGAGCAGGCAACGAAAGAGCCAGTGCCCGATTAAACCGCATTTTTCAGCGACTGAGCCTTCAGGCCCTCGAAAAAGTCAAGGCCTTGGCCCGGGACCACTCCACCGTGCAGCGCTCGGCATAAAGTGTATACTTGACTCACGTAGTGATGTTTTTTTCTAAGTATCCGAGAATCCAAAGCCTTGCTTGCGAGGAGATGGCTGATGGCATTGCCGCAATCTTGGGGGAGGAGATGCAGGACGGTGCTCCGATGTTCAAGCCACGCGCCAACATGTGAAGATGCAGCTTGTGGCATCTGGTGGCATCTGGGAAACAGGTTTTAATTTTTAGAATTGGCCAACACAGGAGCTGGAGAAAAGACAGTACAACCAGCGAAAAGCAATCAACACCACGTGCGAGCAGCTCCAGAGACTTCGGGTGTGGGCCTGAGGAAAATGGAAAAAGGCCAAGGCATCAGATAAACATCCGTCTCATCCAGCCCTGGTTAGCCAGGACATGGTCCATCACCTCAGTAGCACCTGTGCCGACATCTCCAGCCTCACAGCGCAGTTGGGATCTTCCGCCGGGCCAGCAGCAGCCGAGCCTGAATTTCCTCGACGCTTTGTTCACAGCAGTTCCAACGCCAATGTGATCTGTTTGTTACTTCGCTAAGGTGCGAGGAGAAGCCTCTGCTCCGCGAGTGATTCTGGATAGAGCATGAGAGAGAACAGCTACACTAGGAACCGCCTGTTATGTGCTGTAGACACGGATTAGCAGCCCTTGTCAAAGTCACAACGCGGCCGACGCATCGAAGATAGGGCAAGTGGGCTGCAGCGAGCAGCCTATCACAATGTTGTGCAGCTGTCCAATGATGGCAGCAGCAGTTAACGAACCGCCCGCCCAAATCTTGGGGGCCAGCGGGTCTGTCTTCTTCGACCTGTGTGATCGGAAGTCCGAAGACATGGCTTCTGTTTGAAACTTGAAGAAAGTAGTGCACTTGAATATTGCGACACATGATGGGCGAAATGGGTTTGCAGGAAGTGAAAGAGAACCTGCTGTGAAATGATGAGGCGCCTAAGCTCTTGGCTCAAGCCAGAGGGAATGCGTACTCAGTAAATTGAAGAGCACGATTAGCAAGCAACGCCGGCTTCGGGAGATGCTTGTTCACAATTCGGCATGTGTCGCTATACAACTAACATCAACCAGCCGCCCCATCAACCGACATACGAGTCATTCACATTCTTGGGCTACTAGTCTAAGCTGGAGCTGTTCTTGGGATTGCTGCAAGATCTGCCACTGCAGGCTGCAGCGGATGACAGGATGTGCTCAGATTCTTGTTGAGAACCAAGAAGATCTTAAAGATGTTGCTGTTACTGTTCGAGTGTTGCCACTGCAAGTTCTGAGAGCTTTGCGGGGTCTTCATAGGAGTTTCTGTGTGACTTGAAGCCATGCCTGTCGAAGTTGTGTGCTGGAACCACGGATCTGCCTGCAGGTCCGAAAGCCATGGAAACGGTTCGCACATTGATGGCAGGCCTGAAGGCGGGAACGGCTAGTTTCTGCCACATCTCTATTGTCCCATCCATGCGGAGCTGTCTTCTAGCTGACGTTGATGTTATGCTCCTGCTGACCGAGCCAGATTCGGCGTTTCCGTGCCTGCAGGCCCCACAACACTACGACAAGGCAATCGTACTGAGAGAACGACTGCACGGGTTTGCCACGTAGACGTTTTCATGTGAGGAAGGTGTTCAACTGGCAGAGTGGCAGGTCTTCAAAGATGAGTGTGTATACACATGCGCCTGCGACTTAAGAACTCGGTTTCTTCAAAAAATCTGTTTGGTCGAAAGGTCGCACCGCAAGCAGCGTGCAACAGCTGTACTGCAGTTTCAGGACACACCATTCTCGGAGGGTGGTTTGGCAGTCAGGCGCTTAATGCTCATCTCGACCTGTCTCCGTACCGCGGTCAGCAATCTGGCGGCTGCCACGGGCGGTAGAGAAAGGATGAGAATCAGATGAGTCTTGACACGCAACGGCTTCCAAAGCCTTCAAGATGGATAGGTCAATCTGAGCGGGGGTCATCGCCAAGGTGAACTTGCGGACGTGGCAGGGTGTAGCTGCAGGTCCTGCATCGGTCGGTGTGTCTCTTTCTGATATTTGGTGTGTCACGCATATGTTGCTGAAATCATGAGATACTGGCATGTGCAGCAATTGTTGCCTGGATCATCTGCAAGACGAACCTTCGCCCTCCCTGCCAGACATGATCGAGTTGGACATGACAAGATCACAGAGCAAAGGCACAACGACACATTGTGGAACTTGGGGTGCAAGAGACGCGCGTGCCAGTGACCATTGCAGGTGCTATATACCTCCTCCAGAAGTTTCGGCAGCAAGAAAAAGAAATGCCAGGCTACGGATCTCCGCCCCAGTGACCACAGTGTTTCTGTGGGCTTGATGCTCGTTGGCAGACACGCAGCAAGAACCGACCAAGCTTGCCATTGGCGTGCGCATCCTGGTGTTCGCCAACATAGCCGCTGTCCGGCATGACCTGGCCTCGATTGAGCGGAATGTGCTTCAGGTCGAAGGCGGGTTCTTGCCAGACGACAAGTACGAGACAATCAAGGACTGCTGACTCTTCCGTTGATCTGCGCGGAAATTCGGATCGTTGAGTTGGGTCTGTCCTCCATGTTTCAGCTCCGTTTCCACGCAGGAGTACTCCCTTTTAGTTGCTACAGCGGGTGAGCGCACTACGTTGCCATACCCCAGCTTGGAGCTTACCGGCTCTTGTGTCTGTTTCTGTCCTGCTTTCTGCTCAGACTGCCAGCCAGGTGAGGACCTGCCGATGATCGTTTCCAGCGTGTGCGAGGCAATCGTCGCGCACCAGGCCTTTGGCAGAGCTAAGCAACAGACTTCAACCGAGACCGGTCCTTCTACGCTGTTGCCATGGGCGGACGTCACGGCCGAAGCATCGAAGACCTGCCGCGGCCGTTTGACTTTCTGTAGGTCTCCAAGGCCTCTGTTTCCCGGGCCTGCCGCAATGGTGGCAATTTCTGGCGTGACGCCGGCTGTGGCCGGCACCAGTGCTTCCTCCGAGCCATCAGAGAGGATCTCTTTCGCAAACCAGGCAGCAGGGGCAGCAAGACGGGTGAGTCATGACGAGCATTGACAGTCTGCAGTTTGAGGCCTGAGCTCAAAGCATAGAAGTTGCTAACATCCGAGAATCAAGGCCGAGTTGATTCTCACTCTGGTGGGCTACGCTGCGACTATCCTGCATCATCCGATGTGTGTTTCTCTCGAGAAGGCACTTGCTTGGTGCAATCTGGTCGTGTACGATCGTAAAAGGTCGGCGTGGGAAATGTGTGGCGCTTCCCGTACCTGACATACACGTATGGTGGAGGCCAGGATGTACGTTCTCGGACGCTGTTGGCGAAGTCCCTCGATTTTGCTGGAAGGGGCCTTCCTGATTCCCTACGGTCTCAGCTTGCTGCTGCTGGGCATTCCACTCTTCGTGCTTGAACTGGGCCTTGGGCAGCTGACTCGACGGGGAACGCTGCCTCTCCGACTTGTCTTATCACGAGCAAGATGCGGATGTGCAGGGCCCGTGCATTGTATTGCTGACAGCTTCTTTGCGAGGGGAATGTGGACCAAGCTTGGCTTGCCACGATGGCAGGGTGTCGGTGCGCCGCACAGAGATCCCTCTTCAGCCGTATTGCGCACAGCCGATTTCTTCAGGCGCAATGCCCTGTTAGCAGGCCTCGCAGCGATGATGTGCACCTATCTGGTGGGCCTGTACTACATTGTCGTCCTTGCTTGGACGATCTTCTACCTGGGCAGGACTTCATTTCCAAGCAAGTACCGTAAAATACTCTGCAAAGAGCCTGAGGACTCTTGCTGCCTTGCCATCCGGACATCTGCCATGGAGCGATGTGGCTCCCGGGGTGATTTGCCTTTGTAGATATTGCGAAATTATTATAGACACTTTTCCGGACTGAAGAGTGAAGCTAGGTGCTTGGAGACATGGTCAGTGTTGGAGACTTGCAATCCAGGTCACTTGCCCTACAAAGGATCTCTACCTGCACCAGGCCTGACTGCAGCGTGTCCTGCACATGTGCAAAAAGTATCCAAACCAGCCTAACCCACCTTCGAACTCGCTCCTTTGCCAGACAGTCGCGGACAGCGACTACCTGGTTGACAGCATCACAGGTTTGCTGAATTCCAGCTTTGTTGCGAGCACGTGGTGCCCGGCGAAATCCGGCGACCAGCCGCCTGCGGACTACGTGCTGCACTGCGGGCAGCAATTTCAGCAAACTTGATCTTGCTAATTTGTCCGCGGCGGCCACGTTTGCTCGTTCCGTCTGGGACGCCAGCCAGGAAGACGCTGCAGCCAACGAGGTGTCCAGGCAAGGCCTGAAGTTCGCGGAGAGCCATGCCAAGCCTTGATGCCCCCTGCAGCACGAATGGCGAAGATCTTCTGGGAAGAGCAAGCCTTGAATCAAAGCAGTGGATTGGACGAGCTCGGAGGCTGCAGTGATCTGCAGTGTCAGTGTGGCCGAAGATGTAAGCTTCCTTGCTTGGCGAGCCAGGCTTGAACCCGGGTCTGGTGGTGTCCCTGACCATTGCTTGGCTGGTGATTTGGCTGATTGCTCCTCGACCAGCATCAGCCCTGAGATGTCACGGTTCCTGAGCGTTTTGGGCTAAGGTTTTCAAGGGCGTGAAGTCCTCTGGCAAGGTTGTGTATGTCACAGCCACGCTGCCATACGTCTGCTTGGGCATTTTCTTGGCTGCACGGCACCGAAGGGAGGGAGATGGAGGCGCGTGACTACTAGCGATTAGCTGCTGCATCTCCTGGCATCTACTTCAATTGTGTTGTAGTTCCTGGATTTGTGGGCTTACGCATGAGCCGTCAGCAGTGGATTCAGATGCTGACTTGATGATTACTTGACGATTAAGCGTGATGCCAATAAAATTAAACGGTTCCAAGGTCCGCGCGCTGACGTTGCCAAACGCCTTTGTTGGCCTGAAGTTCCTATTCGAAGCAGCACCTTGCATGAAGATGATCCTTCGACAGAGCAGTTCAGAGACCACTGTTAAGATTCGAGATGGTCGCCTCAGTGTCACGACACGTCGATGACCAACCTGTCTGGATGTGATCTTCCTGCCTAGTTGCTGAGAGCCTTTGCGATGAGGACTTTAGCCATCTCGCAGACCCGCAAGTTTGGATCCACGGAGCTGTGCAGATCTTTTTTTCCTTGGGCGTGGGCTACGGGTCCATTGTCGCTTTCGGTTCCTATGGAAGCAAGAGCGGGAACTTTGTCCGGAGCCGAGCTTCGCCTTCTGCCGAGTTCAGGCTAGCCACACTGTTTTCCGACATTCGGTTGACTCTTGACCGAGGTCCGAGATGCCACCTCTGTCGCTCGCCATTGAAGAGGATCGTGCACTTGATGCTGTCGGTTCAACAGATCCGAGGTTGCGATCACCAACTGCGGCACCTCAGTCCTTGCCGCTTGCGTGGTGTTTCCCGTTCTGGGGTTTCTCGCTCAAGAGTTGCACGAGCCTCTCGGCACCGGGACATGCAGAGACCCTGCTGGCTGTTATCGGTCTGAGTCCGAGTTCTGAAGCCATTTCCGGCCCAGGACGGACCCGTGCATCTCCGCAGACAGCCTGGATAGCTTGAAGAGCATTGGCTTGTCGGGAACAGGACTCTCCATAGTCTTTGTGTGTGTGCGTGTTTTGTTTTTGGCAGTCCGACGTGTCCGCTTCGACATGAGAAAGAGCGCAATGCTACTCTTTTTTCTCCAGGTTTGTGAACTCCACTCTGTATACAGCGTTGTTCCCGTGCAAGGACTTGCCTTTGTCGCTTTTCCAATTGCAGTGTCGCAGATGCCCGGTAGCTTCTTTTTCGCTTCCTGGTCGGACAACGTCAGAGTGTTGTAACAAAGCTCACGAGCACGCTGATGATGGGGACGCAAGGGTGTCATGCTTTGTGCTTGGTCGAAGGCTATACTCTTCTTTTTCATGATGTTGCTGCTGGGCATCGACTCGCAGTTTGCATACATCGAAACATTGGCCACTGGTCTGAGGTAGTGAGTTGCAGCCTCAGTGGCCGGTTTTCACGCATCAGACCGAGATCTAGGCCACCGTTCTGGCTGATGCCGGATGGGGGGAGCGACTCCCGCGTCCAGCTCTGGCAGGACCAGAGCTTCTCTTGCTAGGCTTGCCGGGTCATATTTCGTTGTTTACTACATGTACTCGTAGGTAAAATGCACATGCCCCTCGTGTATTCTCAGGTTGATTTTCGTCTCTCTATCTCTGCAGTCATGCCTTCAAAGCCATGTTCTTGCACAGGATTGATCTGCTTCGTCTCCTATCTGATTGGGCTGATCTTCGTCTCCAGAGCAGGGATCTATTTCCTGGATCTGCCCGGTGCCTAAGGGAGCAAGACAACTCAAGTGCGGCAGCCATGTAGCAAGCTCAGCGAGAGGTTTGACAACTACGTCAGCATCTACGTCATGTTTGCCGTGGGATGTCTAGAATGCGTCGGTTTGCATCACGGAAGCAATATCCTTCATTCTCGTGAAAAGGCACAGATGTTCAACCCCAGGATCTGGACTCGGCAGGGTCAGACTTGGGAGCACTTCAAGTCTTTGTGCATGGATCACACTGGTCGCCACTTGGGCCGCCTGTACGAGGTCGCGTGTCATGAAGAAAGCCCCTTTTGTCACGGTGCTTGAATTGATGTCGCGTGTGCGCGGCAGGTGGTTTGGGGATGGATCTGTCCAGGGCTGTGCTTGTTGCTGGTGATCGTCAGCATCACGCCGCCCTTTGGGAAGTTGGATGTCATGGACGCTCTGTCGTCCAAACCGTTCCCAGAAGGCACAGAGCCGACAGAGCAATCGGTAGCGCGATTCGCATCTTGTGCCAGGAACAGGTTTTTTTCCCAGCTGGACGATTCCTCTTGGATGGACCATTGCTTCGCTACCCATCGCTGCCATGGCTGCGACTTGCTCAGTTCAGAGTCTGGGGACGGCCAGTCTGTGCTTGGGCAGTTTGGGCGTTTGTTGTCGAGGTCGTTGCTACCTGGCCAAACATTCTTAAAACAAGTCGAAGCGGTGGTTCTACAATCTTCGACGACATTCCCAAGTGACAGCGGATAGCTGCATTGGCAGTTTTGCCGGTGAGGGGGGGCCTCCTGAATTTGGAGCTTCGTTTCGGCTCCTCAGAATATCCCGCATTGTAAAGCATGCTGCGGTTCTCTTCTAGGAGCACTTTGGCATGTCTGGGCACTTCGCCGTCCTTGCAAAGATTTTGAGATCGCCAGTCGCATGGAACATGCGGCCTGCACAGTTGTCAGCAGAGGGCAGTCTGTATAGAGGTCGCAGATGGGTCGCAGCATGGCAAGAGCTCATGCACAGAGACCCCTGCGATCTGCCGAAAAGCCACAGCTGCAGCCATGAGCAGGCAAAACATGATTTACAAACATATACAGAATGTGCCAAAATCAAGTTGCAGACCCGTGCATAGGGGGCGAAATCTATGGATGCGGTGGCCCAGTGGGAAGATGATGCCGGATACTGAGTAGGCAGTCGTGTAGCGCTGCGCTACGCCCCGGAGAAAGTTCGCCGTTCCCAGAAGACCTTGCAATCAGGAAGTTACCGAGTCCAAGCATTACAAGGTTGGGGAAGCCACCTCCAACATGTCAAGTCCAAGGTTTTTGTGCTCAGGACTTGGTGCAGTTACCAGCATCCAGAAAGATCAGTCCAAATCCAAAGGACATGATGCAGTGCATGCATAAGCTGGTCGGTATGCAACGATACGAGAATGTGCTTCTAGAGACATGTGAGGACTGGGTGTCAGGACCTGTGTTTGCGTGGATCGATGCGAGATCTGACATCTGGGCCAGAGATGCCAAGTCACAGCGCCGAGGTGTGAGAAGAGTGGGGACACGCAGAACCTGTGGCTCAACCTGTCCGATGGGCTCGGAACATGGACGGTTGTGCTTGTTCCGCTTCCGGGCATCGAGCAGCAACAGACTAGCGTTCCCAAGGTTTATCGGAGGCGGCCGCAAGTTCTGGGATGGCTCTGGTGGCAGCAATGGCGCACTGGACCACTTCACAGAGGAAACGCAGCCAGTAGAACGAAGGTGTAAAGGACTGGCCGTATAGGTTTCATGAATATCAACGCGCTGTGGGAGTCTGACAGCGCATTGCGAGCGTCCAGGGTCCCCAACAACATAGAGAACAAAGCAGACCTTCATGGCGCAAACGCTTTGTGCAAAGAAGCCGCTAAACTTGCTTGGTTTCAGATGCCTGCAGCTTCAGAAGTGACAGGAGCACGCGAAGGGCAACTTTTACCCCCTTGCCGCGACCTTGCTACAGCTGGCAGTGTCCGGTGAAGGCAGCGTGGAAGGTAAAGCTCCAGCAGCTGCAATGCGAGGTTGTGAAGCTGGGAACGATCACGCCGGCAGGCTGGCGTGATATGTCAGCGAAATCCTTTCTGTTTGATGTCACACTTGCGAGGGGCCGACGTTTACTCTTATGCTCCCGACGAAGACAAGATGGTGAAGGAGACGGAGAGCACTTGTCGTCTTTTCGCCAGCGCCATCAGAGTGCTTGGAGAGGACCCTTTGCTGGCCAAGCATTTGGAGCACTGGGGGATTGACGTCATGAAGCTGCTGGTCTCAGAACTACCTCTTTCCGAGTAGGCAATTGGTTCGGGCGGTGTTGATGGTTGTGGTGTTGGCTGTTGGTCAGTGTCTGTCTGGCTGGCTGGCTGCCTGCCTGCTTGCCCGTCTGCCTGTCTGTTTGTCTGTCATCCTGTCCGCGCCGAGTATGCGGGCCAGCCTATAGGCTGATTCCAATTTCCAAACATTGCCTTCAATTTTACAGCTTCAGTCTTCTGTGTGGAAGGCTTGTTTATGATTTCCTTTAGCTTCTTTGTTTTATCAATTTCTTGTTGGGTTTTCTCTCCGGCAGGAAGTCTTGGCGAAGATTTTCTTACTATTCATCATTGCTCTCTGGTTTCGGGGACACCACCGGCACTATAATCTCATTGTGGGTGACCAGTTTTTGCTCATCTAATTGTTTGACCCAAGCACTTGCTAATTTTAAGCTTAAAAACAAGTCAGTTATTTAATTAATTCTTGTAGGTTCGAGTGTAAGTATGTTAATTCTGTTGAAATGCTAGCAAAAGACCAGAATCTCTAAGGACGCCGGCATGCGTTGGTTGCGCACATGACATGAGGCTTGGCTTGCATGTCATGTGGCAGCATGCTTGGCGGACTAAGGATGGAGAAGACTGATAAGACGCTGGCTGAGATGCAGGTTCAGTGCACGACCTTCCAGGTTAAAAGCACGGGAAGAGGAGTGAATTGGGAGGTGGACCTCAATCTGAACTATGACTGGTCGAAAATCTGCGAATCCGGAGACAAGCCGCTGGCGATTCGCTCAGACCCATCGCGCTCGAGAAAAGCACAAGTTCTTCGCTGAGTCCCCGTAGGTGCGCCTCCGAGGGCCAGGTTTGGTTGGCCTCAAGAATCTTGGGTGCGCTGGGCCCATCCTTGTCCTGCAAGGTCCTACGTGGCATATGGTAGCTTAACCATGCCACGTAGCCAGGCAGTCCTGCTACATGAACTCTTCGGTTCAGCTACTACTCGTTGCTCCCTGAGTGTTTCCACGCACTACCCCAGACTAGCAACGACTGGGACACGATCAGGCACTGCCGGAAGTGAAGCAGCGCTACTTGGACGCGGATCTGAAGGCCGAGAAGTTCGGCTGCTCTGGCCGTTACTTGCGACTTGACGCCTCAGATCCGAACATCTGCACCTGCAGAAGTCCAGAATGACCTGCTCAGCCAGGCTCTTTCGTGCAAAGGCTGTACTCGTTGCGACAATGCTTGCAGACGCTTGGCCAGGTGGCCAAGCTAGTCAGCGGCCTCAACGGTTCACGCTATGCACCACCTTTGCTTGCCCCTCAAGTACTTGCTACGTTTACGTCGTTTACGAGATCTGATAAATGAGTTCGACGGTAGCTATGCAGCCGTGAGGAAAGATGGTGATGACGAGGAGGATCCGAGATTCTCTATCCAACCTCAGGCAAGTCGCATTGGAAAGTTTAGGAGTGCGACGGGCAGCACTCTGAAACGCAGAGATGCTAAGCACTCACTTGCAACGATTCCGTGGTCGCCTGTCAGATGTTCCGCTCGCTCATCGGGAGAGGGCATGCGGAATTCTCGACTGCCAGGCGCTGGTGCTAAGTTTTCAGAGACTGCAGGGTTGAATGCTATATGCTGGCAGTGCGGAAATTTACAGGCAGCAAGATGCTGCGGAATTCGTCCAGGCAAGGTTCGGAGTGGCTCGCATGTGCCTGATGATCAATGCTGCCACTTCGCGCAGTACTTCTTGGAGCAGATCGCACGCTTCGAGCGAAGTGCTTTGGGAACGCGGCTGGCCGGAGACAGTAGGGGCCTTGCTGCCTCCGGGAACAACTGGTTAAGCTCGGTTGCAGCGACTTGCCAGCATCCTTCAAAAGCCATCGAGGCTCCACCACCTCCCTTTTCGAGTTTGCTGCAAAGCTTGCCGGGTGTTGGATATGACTTCCGGCCGCTTAGAGACACATGGACTTTTGGGTCTCCTGTGCCAGGTGGAGGAAAGACTGCAAGAAAGCTCTGGCCAAAAGAGAGTGAAGCACACGGGCTGCACGAGCTCTCCGTGCTTGACTTCTGTTCGTGTCATTGCACGTACGTTCATGCATGTGGATACTTTCTCCTCGGCTCAGGTACAGCAAGGTCCAGCAGAACATGCTTGGACTTCCAGCGGGCGCCTCAGAATCAGGAGACACCCTGGACTTTGTAACATAGCTTGCATTGTTGACCTCCGGAACACCAGTGCCTGCTTCTAGTTGCGATACGAATGAGGTGAAGCTGGATGATGCCGAAAACCTTCAAGAGGCGAATCAGCCCCGTTTGCCATGCAAGATCCAGTCCCCGATGTTAATGGCAGCGCACGAATGGGAAGCCCGAGCGGGACAGCGACAAGACGAGCTTGCAGCCCCAGCATTCGTGTATGCATGCACACAAGCTTTTGGCAGGTCACGGCTTTCAGAGCAGCGAAGGACAAGGATGAGCAAGAGGCCAAGAAGCCCAAAACGGAAGGCGCGCAATCGCTATAGGCCTTGCTGACGGTTCTTGCCTTGTAGATCCTGCCCCGGAAGGCGAGCCGGAAGAACCGAAGCCAGTGATACCGTTATCGCACAAGCCTGAGGTGAAGATCACCACATGGTATATGTGAGGGTTCACGGATTCTAAACGACCGGGCTTGGGGGTACTTGTGTTCAGATCGAGGGCCTCGGAGGGCCTCAGCTGTCTCCCAGGTCTTGTTTGGCTCGCTTTGGAGCTCCGGAGGAGCCGCAGTTGCACAGTTGAATGCCGTTTTTCCCGAGCTGCAGACGGCGTCAGCTTCGGTCCGAGGATGGCGTTCAGTTTCGAGGCAGCTCTGCGTCCAAGACGCCGAAGCCCTAGCCAGAGTTAGCCGGGGCCGGCATTCGCTGATCTTTGCTACTTCGGTTTGGCTGTGAATTCTCTTTCTGTGCTTTTAGGTCAAGACTGGCCAGCATGCCCAGGTTCCAAAAGGGCCGTTGCACACGTCACAGAGCACTGAGAAGCCGTTGGTCTCAGGTACTTACTGGTGCAACTTCAGCGGTACTACGTGGACGAGAAATGGTGCCCGGCCAAACTAGATTGCAAGGCACGGTTTTTCGGTACCGCTGTCGTCTTTGCCTTTGCCGCCGTGTTTCCGTCAAGTTTCTGTGCCCCTGTCTGCTCGCAATCGTCTCCTTAGGATGGCGTCTCTCGATGATAACATTTTGTTGCCACTTTCTTGTGCCTCTACCTCTCTTTTTTCCCTCTCCCGCTCCTTCTCTCTCTCTCTCTCTCGCTCCCTCTCTCCCTCCTTGCGACGTACGAATCATGCCTTAACCGAGCAGGTGCCCATGTCCGGTTCTCAGGTCTCAGGCTTTGCCATGCTTTGCCCTGTGAGCTTGCACGACCTTTGCAATGTGTTGCCGCCAATCGCCGCTGAAGCTGTGCATATCAAACAAAATACTCGTACCAACCAGGGAACATTGAAGATTTTCCAACACTCAATGTAACAGGCCGTGAGCCTCGCTTTGTTGGTGTGTTGAACTTGCAACTCTGCTTTTCGCAGCTGTCTGCCGATGCCGGGTGTCGTAGCAGTACTTGATTATTTGGCTTGGGTGTCCCAGGCCAGAGACATTGAATCTGGAGCACCTGCGTGGCAGGGGCCTTCAGCCAGGACAACGCCAGCACCGTAGGTTGATTTGCAGACTCATCTCAAGATCTTTCGAGTCTTCTTTGCTTTCTTTTGCTTTCTTTGTCTTTGGTTCTCGCAGGAGAGGAGCCGGTACCGGAGGAAGCGGATGCTCCCCAGCTGGAAGCCCTGGGCCTCTGTTCTTGCCGCCCTTCAGCCTGTGTCGTTCGGAAGGGCGGCGGCTGGGCCTCAACCAGACGACATGATCGTCGTTTGATTCTCAGCCAAGAGCTTGCCTCTCCGCCCACAGCCCACAGCATCGAAGCTTGACGAAGGCCACGTTGGTGTCCATGGACATCGGTGAGAATGCTGTCAGTAACCTAGCATTTTCCGCTAAGGCCGCTAGGATCGTCATGAGCTTCCCTCCTCTTTTGTGGCCAGGCCAAGCGTGCCAGCCTGGCCGTGGGCAACTCCAGCGCCGAAGCCGCGATCGCATGGTGAAACTCCCCTCACTTCAAGCCGCGGTTCGATGTGAGAGATGGCATTGCATGCAGGTTTTTCGAGCACAACACTGACCCCGACATCAACGATCCCTTGAGTGCAGCAGGAGGACTGAATTTCTCCATCCTTACGGCGGAACCCTCATGCCAATAAGTCCGCAGGAGCTGGTGGGGCAGCCGAATCTGGCGGCGATGCGTCTGCCACTACAGCTTTTCTGTTCAGGATTGGCAGCACTGGCTATGGTCCGCGGGTTTGGATCTGTGAGGCTGGCATTTGTGATTGCTCCAAGGCCAGACCCGGAAGCAGTTTCCATGCTGTGCTCGATGGGCTTTGCCCAGAGTCACGTGCAAGCTGCGCTCAAGTCGTGCGCATCTCAGACTGCCGGGCTCAAGCTGCCGGATCTGATCAAAGACTCTATTCACTCTACAGTCACTCTAAGTCACTCTGGTGAGGTGCATGAACAGTGCGGAGAGAGCTGCAGACTGGTTCGAGACTCGGGCCCCTGAACCATTCGCCACGCCAAAGCTCCTCGAACGTTTGAGGTTGTTTTCCCACTCGGACGACTTGGATGGAGCTGTCGCCTCCCTGGGTGGCCAGTCCGGTGGTGCAAGTGCCCTAAACTTAAAAGCTCATCCTTTTGCCTGTGCTGTCTCGATGGCTAGATCTGCAAGGCACTACCAAAGGATTATGACGACGGCGTCGGGGAGTGCCAGCTTCAATCGCGCACCAGTGCCACCGCATTCCTTGCTAAAAGCCTTTTGTCTCAGGTACACACTGGTCGGCTTCGTGTCGCACATCGGAAAGCATACCTCGCATGGGCACTACGTTTGCCACATGAACCTCGGCGTCAGTGGCATTGCTGGTGCTGTTGGCCGCTTCATTTTTCCTGCAAGGCGCCGGGGAGAAGGTGCTTCCTGGGTCATCTTTGATGACAGCAAGGTTGCTCACTTGTCGTTTTGAGAAAGTCGCCCCAGAGACTCTCATCGCAGGTCGCGCAGTCTGAAGCTCCACCTCTTGATCTGGGTGCGGAGCTCTTCCAGTTTCGGTATCTGGCAGACGCGGCAGACATGTCATTTGCAATGCCTGCAGGCTACATCTACCTGTACAGGAGAAAGGACGTACGTGCAAATGCCGGTATCTCCTGCTCTGCCTCAAGTTCATGATTGAGAGGGATTAGCTTGTTGGTCCCACAAACAGTTACTCTTGGTTGTGGTGGTAGCAGCGGCAGCAGTAGCAGTAGTCGTCGCTATCGAAGTCACAGTCGGAGTTGAAGTCGGAGTGGTAGAGGTAGGAACGGTAGCAGTTGGATAGGGGTTTGCTTGTTTGCTTGCTTGCACGCACGCGCCTGCCTCACACGGTTCACGGGCACAGCCCCGCAGAGATGAGGGCGCACTTGGGACTTCGACTGATGTCATAAGCAGGCTCCATGCAGCAGCCTCTGTGATGATCAACCAGGCTCCACTTGAGCAACAGCGAGCACCTCATGGTCACATGGGTTCGCTTCTCTTGTTTTGTCGATTGGATTGTTGAACTGTTCCCGTAGAACTGAGGAGTGCACAGGTCCCGAATGTCTTGTCTTACTACCGCACCCTGCCATGTAGGGAGTTGAATGCGAGAGGGAACGCTTTGGCTGGTTGTGGCATCCACCCGTGCTGCAGGATGGGTGACTTTCTATGCGGCAGTAGCTAGGTTAGCTGAGCCATGTCGTGATCTCGATGAGGCAGCAACAGATCTGCAGTAGTCGAGAGCTACGAAGGTGGCCTGCCACAGACTTGAGCGATCAGCTCTCAAAATGTGCTGCTGGCTGTTTGGATGCTCTTCTTCTACGGTCCCTGCAAATTGCTTGCCTGAGAATTCATTTGCTGTCATTCTCGCATTTGCCCTTCGCCTTTGTGGTCTGCGGCTCTTCCTTGGTCATTTGACGATCTGGCTTGGGGTTTTTGAACACCTCGCGCCCCACGCCGCAAGTTTTAATCAGACCTGCTGCTCAAAGCTGCGTCCAGCATACTCCAAGCCTTGCAGTCGAGGGAGTCTGTGCAGGGTTTGCGGAGTGAGTACATGAGTTCTCTGCTTCTGAAGACAGACGGCGTGAAACGCCTGCACCTTGCTATCAGGAGCACTGTGGGATAATGGTTTAGCCGCCAGACTGTCCTCGGCATCCAAGATTTCGTCCAAGCACCAGCGGCCCCGCGGTCATGGCAACTCCCTGAGCCATGCCGATCGGATTTACGGCACTTGGCGCACGCTGCGTCAAGGATGCTTGCTGTGAGCAGTGACTGCGGCTGGAAGCGCCATGAAAGAGCAGATCGACTCGCTTGTCGCTCTGACGCATTTTCTGGGGCCTATCTCGGAAGATCGGTTGCTGACCATCGCTGACCTTACAAGAGCAGAGTCTGCGCCATTCTGTTCGGAAGCAGCGTTTGCAACTCGAGGCAACAATCCAAGCTGTCTTCGACGAGCTTCGAGGAAATGATGACCACCTAAGCACCGCACAGCTGCCAGCTGCCATGCGCTTGCTCGGAATGAATCCAACCGAGGAAGATGCTCTCGGGCAGCAACCGGTGAATGTCTTCACTTGTCTGCGCTGTACACTAGCCCATAAGTTAAAACAACATATATATATATATCGGTATAGATAGAGAGAGATAGACTGCAACCGCTTCTATTGCGAATATTTGCCTGGAGCTAACTGAGGTCAGTCAGCTCTGCAAAGGCGGCTGCTTTGACTCCACGCTTGATAGACCGGCGTTTGCAAGATTGATGGAGGACTGTCCAGAGCAATGCACATAAAGCTCTGCACTGACGGACGGTGGGATAGCCATAGATGGCTGTACGAGGAAGCTCTTTCGAAATGGTTGGCACAAGATCAGGCACAAGAGCTTCTCCTCAGCTTCCAGGCGCAGCCAGTATTCACTATTGCTGCTGCTGTTCTGCACTGGCTTCTTGTCCAGGCCTTCGATACCCACGGGAATGGTCGGATGTCTGTGGAGAAGCTGGCGCAGATCATGAGCATGGCAGGCTGGTACCGCAAAGCGCTGCTCGTAAAATGCGTAGCGAAATGCTTTCCGTCCCGTCCGCCCTCGTTGGCACGGCGGAGTGCGCATACTGCTACCCACAGCGGGGAAAGTTGCCCGCTCTTGCGTGAGTAGGACAGGCAGGTGCCTGGAGGCAAAAGGTGGTAGGAGACAGAAGGGCTGTAGGCACAGATGGCTTGAGGCACAATGGCACGCGATACAGGTGAACGAAGGAACCTTTCTCTGGTTCAGTTTCCCTGGTTCGTGTGCAGTCGGTTCCCGTGCGGTTCCGAGTCGGTTCTGCCGCCTTCCTGTTGTACGAAGCAACTGGTCCTGCTCTGAAAATATCCCCCGTCGACCCGATGTTGTGCTGGAAGATTTTGGGGGAGATCGCCCAGATCGCACGCCAGACGAGACGTGAACACGGTGAGATTTTCGTGAACACCACGCAAGTCGTGTTAGGCTAGAGAGGAAGTGGAGGGTGTGCCGCGTGTTGCAAGCCTGGTCCCACCGCCGGCCCAGGCTGAGCAAAGGTTTAGTCACCCACAGAAATGGGCGAGAAGATCACTGGCAGAAGTGGCGAATTCAATTTGGCTCTGACATGTTGCAACGTAATTACTCTGTTTCGCCCTCGGAGGTTTTGCAACCTTGCCACGTCTCCGCATGGACTCGGTAAACAGGATCTGTGGAGCCGCTACTGCAGACACTTCGTCTAATTCGGTTGGCATCAGCTCAGCAGAGATGGATATCTTGCGAAACAGCGGATAGCCAGAGGGCCGCTTGAGTCGAGATGAAGATCAACTTCGTGCTGACCGAAGCCTTTCTTTGCGGTGTCGTCATCATGACCTAGCTGGTCCGATTTCGCAACAGAGATTCGAATTCTTCCATGTCGGGTGGAGCGTGTTTGATCTTCGTCTCGCGCTGATGGGGTTTACGTGACTTGATGATCATGCTGTTTCGCCTCATTGCAAGGGGCCGGGTTTCACCACACCCCAGGTTGCAACAAAAGCTGCTGGTCGCGACGTGAAATCTGTCTCGCGCGGTGACATACGTACAGTCGTACAATTACTAAGTATCTCCACGAGGCCTTTGCTAGGGTACTATTCCTCCTGCTGGTACTTCGTTCGCAGGGTATGCGCGGAAGAAACGAGAAATGTGGCGCGGGAGTGCAGCCTCCACTTCTCCTGCTTGGCTTTTTTTCCGGTAGAGGAAACGACTTGAATCCCTTCTTTGCAGCTTCGTGCGAGGAAAAGCCGCAATCATTTTAGTCCTTGGTCAAAGACATCACTACCTCCGGTTCAGCCCTTCAAAATGAACAACTCCTCAAAACAAAGCCGAGCAACCATCATGCTCAAATATGGAAAACACATGCACGCTACAACGTGACTCCTGTCAATCACGAGGACTGTACACGGCAACAAAAGGTAAATGTTTGCGAGGGCCACCTACTGAGATTTTAGGAGTTTCACAACCTGATGCATGAATGGAAACGCACCTTTCTGCTTGTTATAGAATGGGTGCAAGAGCCTTAGATGCGTTGCCCAAGTTTTGGACAAGAAGCCAGTCTGGTCAAGGGGCTATGCATTTGCGCTTGACTTTTGTGCCAGGTAACCCCTTCTCAGCCGAAGAACTCGAGGCAGGTAGTTTGCTGCCAGCTCAGTTATGGTCAGTTGACTGAAGCTTCAAAGGACCAATTGGCGTGCTTGCGACAGGAAATGCTTTTCAATGCCGGTGTTGATGGTCTCGGGCCTACCGCCAACGTAGCAGGTAGCGGGTAGCCGCGTCCTCTCGCGAGCATGGCAGACAGAGCCTTGCCAAGGTGATGGGACGCTGGCCTACAGAGACTTGATTCTGCGGCACTTCTTGAGTGCTGAAAGTGGCGCTGCCCGAGGCCTGTGTTACGTTGTCTTGCCGAAAGCTCTATCTATCTGAGACAGATGCCGAGTAGGAGAGTGGCCTTCGTGGGCCTTACCTGGATCTCTGGCACCGCTGCAAGACTCCTGCTCCGCACAACAGCAAGCAGCTGAGTAAGAGTTCATGAGAAAAACGCATGCTGAGACTCCTAGGAAGCCGCTACCTTGAGCGAGATCGCAAAGCTCAGAGCGGGCAGAGGCAGCTGACTGTGTCGAATCGGTGTATGAGACGGCATGTGACTGCACCTGCAAACATGAGGCGATCTGGAGGACTGCTAGACGAGTGCAAATGTCACACACCAGCGTCTGCACGTCATGAAAAAGCCGGGCATGAGCTGGCACATCTAAGTTTGCACTTGGTGAGGATGCGGTAAACCTTCGGTACAGGGCTTTGGTGACGGACTTGGTATGACAAGCCCTGCATCAGCCAAGCTGGACAGCCTGTTCTCGAGGCCATTCTAGAGCAGCTTCACGGACCACAGCACGCAGACGTGGCGGCTGCTCTGCATGCTATTGCTGCTTTGAAGGACAGTTTTGTTGAAGCTGGCATGCACCTGATGTAGTCACCAGCAGGAGACACAAGGCCAAGTCGAAGAGGCTCTGGACGTTTATGGCAGAGCTCTTGCCATCCGGGAGAAGGCGCGAAGGGGCAAGCAGATTCCGGTCTGGATTCTGCCGCGTTGACCTGTGTATCCTCCCATTGCTCCTCCATCGGCTTGACGTGCACTTAAAGTGTATCCACATGGAATCACATGGATACAAATTCTCGGTGCAGGATAATATTAAGATCCGAGATACAGGATCCAGACTCAACTTGTCTTCGGCAATTTTCGGGTTCTGGCCTTTGAGGCTTTTGTCGTGGAGCCTAAGAGCAGGAAGTGGAATGCACCCGCATCACCCGAAACCTCCCACCTGGCTACAAAAGCGGCGCTGAAACCTGGATGCTTCTTCCAATGACCCCGAAAAGCCGATAGGATAGTGCCGTTGCAGAGGTGCTCGGACCAAGCCACTTCTACGTTGCAATGACGCTCGACAGCATTGCCAATTTGAAAGATCGCGTGGGTCAGATCGAGGAGGAGCCCAGCAGGCAACAAGCGGTGATGGAGGAGGCATTGGCATACGCCTGCCGGTCACTGTCCATCTGGGAGAAGGTCTTCGGTCCCATCCATCCTCATATTGCCAAGATCCTTTACAACCTCGCGGGACGAAAGGACTCACTCGGCCACGTCGAAGAGTCGCTGAGGTTGTATGACCGGGCGCTGGACATCCACGAGCAATTACGATCGGAAGATATGGAGCTGGCGGATGTTTTGGGTGCAACGGCAAATCTCAGAGAACGGCTGGGCGAGTTTTCTGCCGCCCTGAACCTCTATACCCGCCTCTCGGCTCAAGCAAGCCAGAGAAATGATTTTGTTCATGTCCAAAAACTCCATGGTCCTCGGATTCCCTACCAGGTGAACTGGCTTTGCGTGAGAAGCTCTTCGGAGCTATGCACCCGGAGGTTTCGGAGCTGCGCGCAATTATTTCCTCTTTGCAGGCCTAGCACAGTGACAGTAGAGACCCCGCCCCAAAACGGTGCAACCGGCTGGCTCCTGCGAAGACCGCGGCAGTGCTTGCCATGTCTCCACAACATCTTCCTTGGCCCAGAATGTGGCCATGCCTGTTGAGAAGCCGACCGGACTAACACATCTGGCACGACGAAAAAGCTTGCTCGAAATGGCATTGCCTGACAGTGCTGATGCTGCGGCAGTACTTCGCAAACGGGGGATCTGGTACGGTAGTCATAGCAGCAGCTAGGAAATCGCTCAGTGTCAGAAGTTGTCACTTGATAGGAAGCGATGTCCGAGGCACACACACATACATGTTCAGCCTCAAAGCTTATCTCGGCTAGGTGGAAATCTCGTCGGCTCAATTTGGTCAACCTTTCGGAAGAGATTGCAAGCGAAGCTCCTGTGTGATGCGAGATGTGCTTAGGCATGCACAAAATCGCGGTGTTGTCCTCGCCAAGGGTTCTGCAAGATGATATACGGAAGAGAATTAGCCAGCCAAGCCGTGCCACAAATAACAGTTTCTTCGAGCGCTGCTGATGAACATGATGATGATCACTACTTCTGCTTCTAGTACCCGTCTCCCCCTCTGGTGCGACGCCAGTCGCAGAATCATCGAAGTGTTCATCGTTTTCGTCAGCATCGCAGTGATCCTCATCGGTATTTTCACGTCATCATCATCATCAGCATCATCATCATCACCATCATCAGTGCATAGATCATGATGAGCATCCTCATCATACCTCAGCAGAGTCATGATCGTGAGGTGGTGTTTGCAAAAGAACGTTTTCATTCCCCGCCCAAAGCGCTTTACCCGAAGAACCTGAGGAACCCAAGTCCACTGACCAGTCCAAAAACGTGGCGTGTGGGCCATTCTGGGGCATGGCATGAGAGGCATTCCCGATGCAATCGTGAGATATCGTGATGTATTGCCTGCTAACCCGCGTTTGGCGGGCAAGGCCAGCAGGTCCCAAACCCCGAACCGTACTGGCCTCCCCAGACATGCTAGACCATTCAAGTCATCATGGTTGTCATGGATGCTCGTCGCCCGAAACGCATTACACCATGGGCGTCATTGGGCTTTAGCCATGCGTGCTCTGCCCCTGAAGCTCCATTGTGAAACGCACTTTGGCACGACAGTCTAATTGCTGCCTTGTCGACATGAAAATAAAGACCGCTACAAACATCAAAGTAAAACACCAGAAACACGAATGCGGTAAATACCAGCAGTTTTGGCTTGAGCAACTCAAGCAGCCCAGAAGAACAGACCAAAAACTAGTCGTAGTCGTCGTCGTATCGCTACATTGTGCCGGCAAAATGGATCCGCTGACTTGTGCTGGTCATCTTGGTAATCTTGCTTTTGGTAGGTGAGCTTGCACCACTTGGGGGGGTCAAGATGACCGGTCATCTTGGTCGACGGGCGGGGAAGCAAGATTGCCTAGATGACCAAGATTATCAAGATGAACGATCATCTTGCCTCTCCCCAAGTGATGCAAGTCGCCAAGATTACCAAGATCACCAAACTGACACACCCCCCGCCGGCCAGTGCCCAACGCAAGATGACCGAGATGACCAGTCATGTTGCCGCCCTTAGCAGTAGTAGTAGTAGTAGTAGTAGTAGTAGTAGTAACAGTAGAAGACATCATAATAGTAGTACCGGTAGCAATGGCAGTAGCACTAGCAGTAGCCGTAGCACTAGCAATTGTAGTACTCGCAGTACTCCACTGATGCGGATGTTGTTACTGCTACTACTGCAACGACCGCTACGACTACTACTGCTGCTGCTGCTGCTGCTGCTGCTACTGCTACTGCTACTGCTACTGCGGCTACTACTACTATTACTACTACTTCTCCTCCTCCTCCTCCTCCTGCTGCTGCTACTACTACTACTACTACTCCTGCTGCTGCTGCTACTACTACTACTACGACGACGACGACTATACTACTGCTCGTGGGCACTACAGGGCTCTCTTAGCTGAAGACTCCGGAAGAATGTGGTGGTCGGACGACGGTGTTGTTGCCAGGCCCCCTAAGAGTAGTGATGCTTCTGTTTTGCTTCGCAATGCTTACATCCTTGTCTTTCGTCCGACTTCATAGTCGTAGCAGTAGAAGTCAAGTTTGGGCAAGCATTTTGCTTTTGCGTACAAACAGTTTTGCGGCTTAGTGCTTGTAGGCTCTTTAGGAGCGGCGAAGTCTGGATGGGTGGCAATAGGCCATGCAGCTCTCATGTGAATAATGCGAGTGAATGAGTGAGTACTAGTAGTAGTACTACTGCTACAAGTACTACTACTACTACTACTGCTACTACTACTACTACTACTACTACTACCACTACTACTGCTAGTTCTACTACTTGTACTACTTCTTTTTCTTCTACTACGGCAACTACTACTGCTACTACGACGACGACTGCTAGTACTACTGCTACTACTACTACTACTACTACTGCGAAAACCCCTGCTACTACTGCTACTACTATTATTA